TGTCTCTTCACGGTCGATCGCTGGGGAATTTTCTGCATGTTTATGTTGTTGCATAAGTTTGTGTGGCTAGCGAGACACCTAGGTTATTGGAATTATAATACAATGGGATTTGTGTATATGAGTTGACTACGGACACGAGTTTTAGATTCACTCACCGAGGCACGAGAGTGAGTAGTAAATATACTGATTTTTTTATATTACTTTCATGTTGAAGTCCTCTTGTTGGACTATAATCCATTGAAGTCCTCGTGTTGGACTATAATCTATTGAAGTCCTCATATTGGATTATAATCCATTACAGTCCTCGTGTTAGACTTTAAGCTTTTGCGGTTCATGTATTGGACATTTACCTATTTCAGTCCACGAGTTGAGCATCTATTTGACATCTGACAGGTCATTGATATTATGGTTGGAGATGGAGCTATATTTCTTTATTGCTCCATGTTATAGTTTTTTTGGGATTTGGTATTTAGCTATTTACAATTTAAGCTAAAGGGAGACGTACCTACGCTCGTGTTGTAAATTTCTAAATATCAAACCATCATTTTATTTTGGAGTAGATGATTGACTATCTATATGTATTAACAGCTACTTTTCTTTCTTCAATCCTTTGCCCCTGTGGTTGGTTGAGACGTTACTCGCTAGCGCTTGACGCTCGTTATTTCCCCCTTTCAGATAACGAGCCAGGTGCGCGGAGAGTCGTAGGTTAATAGAATTGCTCTAGCAGTTATTTATCTATATTGTTAGTAGTTGATGTCGGAACTCCACAGTATATGTGTTTATGAACATTTGAGTTATCATTCTAGTTTTGTAAAGGTGATGTGCCTAAATGTCATTTCATTTGATTTCCTATATTGAGACACTTGTATTCAGTCAGATTTTATTTCTCTCAGAGATTTGTCTTTTTATTTCAGTGGTGATGATTTCTTCAGAATATCTATCGTTTAGTAGTTCTTTTGTATATTTTCTCTAGCCTGTTTTGTACCTACACCTATTGTTGATTCTACTAGATAGATAGTAGTTGTGATTGTGAAACATGCTATTGCACGATGTAGTATGTAATAGGTTTGACATTCTTGATTTCACCTTGGACTACAGCCTTATTGAAACCAGGGGCGTCACAGACCCTGTTCAAGGGATCCTAGTCTTGGTCATCTGGGTGTTTGGGAATGTCCAGCATAGGCGCAGCCTTATAATCTAGACATTAAGAAATTAGAAGCCCGAACAGTGTCGTGTCGCTTTATCGGCTACCCTGCAAGATCTAAGGGCTACAGGTTCTATTGTTCTTCTCGGTCTACCCAATTCTTCGAGACACAGCACACTAAGTTTTTAGAAGACCCTAATGCTTCTTCAGAATATCATGGTCTTAGTTTAGAGGAAGTTTTAGAAGATGAATAGTCGCTTCCGCTATTAGCTGTTATCTAGATTCCCTACTCTTCCAGATAGCATTCCACCTCCTCCTCTAGTTCAAGAAACCTTTGTACCTACGGAAGAGCCACAACCTGTTAGAAGATCCTCTAGTGTCAGAAGATCTGCCATACCTGATGACTATGAGGTCTATCTTTAGGAAAGTGGATGCATTGATCCAGAATCTGATGATCCCTGCCATACCTGATGACTATGAGGTCTATCTTTAGGAAAGTGGATGCATTGATCCAGAATCTGATGATCCCTCATCATACTCAGAAGCTAGAGATAGCATTCTGCATTGATCCAGAATCTGATGATCCCTCATCATACTCAGAAGCTAGAGATAGCATTCATGCAGCTGATTAGCTGAAGACTATGAAAGAAGAGCTTCAGTTAATGTAAAAGAATTTTGTTTAGGAGTTGGTACATTTGCCGAACAAAGCTAGAGCGATGGAATGCTAATGGGTATTCAAGACCAAAAGGGATTCAAGGCTAGGTTAGTGGCCAAGGGTTTCAAGCAAAAAGAAGGGATTGACTACATCGATACTTTTTCTCCAGTATCTAAGAAAGACTCTCTTAGGATAGTTCTTGCTCTTGTCGCTCATTTTTATCTTGAGCTCCATCAGATGGATGTCAAGATGGTATTCTTGAATGGAGATCTGAATGAGGAAATCTTTACGGTGCAGCCTGAAGGGTTTGCAGTTAAGGGAGATCTGGTCTGCAGATTGAAGAAGTCAATATATGGTCTCAAACAGGCTTCCAGACAATGGTACTTAAAATTTCATCAAGTGATAACATCAAATGGCTTCCGAGAGAATCCTGTCGATCACTGCATATACCTCAAAATCAGTGGGAGTCGATTCCTCATTCTAGTATTGTATGTAGATAATATATTGCTTGCCAACAGCGATATTCATCTCCTACATGAGACTAAGGACTTTCTTTCGAGGCATTTCGATATGAAAGACATCGGACAAGCTCATTATGTTTTGGGCATCAAGATCGATAGAGATCGGACTAAAGGCTTGTTGGCTTATCTCAAAGGGCTTATATTGAGAAAGTCCTTCAGCAATATAGCATGAAGTTTTGTGCACCAGGTGAAGCCCCAGTTGTTAAAGGAGATATGTTCAACAAATCTCAATGCTCATGAAATAAAATTGAGCGTAGGCTCGTGAACTCTGAGAAGTATGTCTCTGTTGTTGGCAGTCTAATGTATACGGTGTCATTCATCAGGCCAGACATCAATTATATTGTTGGAATATTAGGCAAGTTTTAATATAATCCTGGTGTAGCTTATTGGAAAGCTGTAAAGAAGGTTTTGCGGTATTTGTAAAGGACCAAAGATTTCATGTTGGTCTATAGAAGGTCTAAGAATCTAGGAGTCGTCGGTTATTCAGATTCGGATTTCGCAGGATGTGCTGATACCAGGAAATCAACATCAGGTTATATATTTCTGCTTGCTGGAGGAGCAGTTTCCTGAAAAAGTGCCAAGCAGTCCTTAGTGACGACATCCACTATGGAGGCAGAGTATGTTGTTGTTTTTTAAGCAACATTGCACGCTTCTTGGCTCAAGAATTTTATCAGTGAACTAAAAGTGGTGGATTCCATTCAGAGACCATTAAAGTTGTATTGTGACAATCAAGCAGCCGTACAGTTTGTAAAGAACAAGAACTTTTCTAGCATGAATAAGCACATTGGTGTGAAGTACTTATTAGTCCTTGATAAGGTCCAACAAGGATTGATTGAGGTTCCTCATTTGCCGAATCAGTTAATTATTGTTGATCCCTTGACCAAGGGAATTTCTCCAGGGCTCTTCAAGGAACATGTCTCCAGCATGGGTGTTTTAGAGTCTTTCAATTCTATATGATCAATGAGATTTAGTTGTCGTAGTAGTTTTGTTCTATTTTCAAGTACTATATTCTGGATTGCTTTGAGCTCATATGAGATTTAGTTGTCGTAGTAGTTTTGTTCTATTTTCAAGTACTATATTCTGGATTGCTTTGAGCTCATAAAGAAACTATTGTGCTGATTTTGTTAGCTCTATTTTCAAGTACTATATTCTGGATTGCTTTGAGCTCATAAAGAAACTATTGTGCTGATTTTGTTAGCCATTTGATATTTTTTCAAGTACTATGTTCTGGATTGCTTTGAGCTCATAAAGTAAAGTAAAGATTTTCATGTTAATCGTAAAGAAACTCGAATTAAAGATAGTGGTCCATAGAGTCATAAAGGTTAAAGTTAAGAGACTCTTAAATTTGTGCAAAAGCTAAATGTGATTGGGCATCATATTTGAAGCTTTCGTTCTGGACTAAAGGTGATGGTTTTCACATGGCGGATGCCAGTAAAAGTTTCAGAACGGCATACACGTTTGTGTATGTTGCAGAGGACACTTAAGGGCGTACATCGGATTTGACCATAAGTGATGTACGGCTCTATTACAATCCACTAAAACCACCATAAGGAAAATGTCTGTTCTAGGTACTAGCGGTTGGACCGTGGAGTGACCTTGTGCCATATTAGAGCATATAGTGTTTTCACGATCAACTATTAGTGTTTAAGGAAAAGGTTTTGGAGACTATCTTAATTAGAATCATGGTAACAAGTTGTTTTCTAAAATAAATAGGTGCGCACCCGACTTTAAAAGTTTTCAAAAATTTAAATATTTTTTAAAAATTAAAATGATGTATGTTGTGCCAAGTGAGAGATTCTTGGGTTCGATTAATCCAACGAACATGTGTGGCCCAACCTACTCGTTTTTGGATTTGATTTAAAGTTACCATCGATTCAAGTTAGGATCAGGATACTAACCACATGGTCTGGTTAGATGGTTAGACAGTTTCATGTTTATCAAGTTGGGTGGTTATCTTGAATATCTAAAGAATAGGATCGATCGGAGTGTAATCACACGGTTGTGATAAACCATGATGGGTAGGGTTCATCACAAATATCTATATATAGGGTGAGAGTCCCTCCTCTCAACCGTACGCAAAAAAGAGACCAAATTCCCATCGTTGGCTACGGGAGGACAGAGGAGAAGACTTCCATTATTTTTTCGAAGGTGAACGATGATTTAGATCTATATTTCTAGTTCAATTTTTCATGCCTAGATCATTAAACTATCCTATATGACGTACAAATACTTAATTTCCCATGGTCTAGAAAACTAAAAATTAATTTTGTGGTACATTTGGTTAATTATCATCAGGTCGAAATCAAGAAAAATTAAGCACTACAGCTCATAAAATTGAACTACTTGATCGTAATCATCAATGAAAATCGATATTCATATTGTCAAAAGGAAAAAAAATCTAACATGTACCAAGAAAATAAATGCTTATTCTATCAAATTGAATAAATATAGATACTCATTCTATCAAATTAATGAAAATTTTGGCATAATCCTCTGGGAAGAAATTAGATACTCGTTCTTTGAGAAGAAGAAAAAACAACCTCATTGGACGAATACAACCGATTCAGGTCAAGGTCATATGGCAGTCACTTATGCCTAGAGAACTATAACCAATGCATTGATCAATGAGAAACCATTCATTACTCATGACAGTCCACAGTTTACATCTTCAAAATGGCTGTTCAAAAATAGAAGCAGGCAATTCTTTGCTTCAACCTTGCAAAGTTCTGATTCATTTCAGACTGCTCCAGTCTCTTAATGGAACTTCACATCAACTTTCCAAAATTTACAGCAAAAAAAGAGCAAGGGAACAGATTTAATAACAAGTTGCACTATACACTGTACACTATTTAACAACAAAGTATTTAAGAAGAAGTTTTTCAGTATTCACTGCAGAAATCAACCAGGAATTGAAAATCACGGCACCATTCAAATGTGTCTTCGGTTCAGGGAACTAGAGAATTTCCTCACTTCATTGAATACCCAAAATTTGATAATGGGAGCAAGAAAATCGTCGATATTATCATATAACCTGTATAAAAGGAAAATACACAAATAAACAATTAGACCGTAAATCATACATATAAACAAGCTAATGAAACTCGGCTAGCAATCACTATGTATATTATAACCAAAACCGACCCCTGCTACAGTAATAGGGTGGCAAGTCAACAAAACCTACTGAAAAAAATATACACAAGAAACAGTTATGCGAACTTACATCTACTAAAAGTATAGACACTGATGATATTTTTAGATTAGAGAATAATGTGAACTTACATCTACTCATCAACTGATCATCTCTTACTAACAATCTATATTCTCCACTTCTCTACTTAACATTAAAGAAACTGATAAATATTTTTCGAGCTCTACCTCTTGTATCACATGTCGGGGAACAAGAAGAGTACAACTGCTAAGCTCTTGAATTTCCTGAGCTCTCATTTGCGTCACCAGCCTGATTGCTGTCTGGTGCACCACCTTGGCGATCACTCAAAATTCTGTTCAGGTAGCCAGTGACATCGTGAAAGGCAGATGCTGGAATAAACACATCATTTCCAGGAGTTGAAATCAGGCGGCCACCTATAGATGCCTTAGGAAGCATTATACATCCTATGACACCAGCTGTTTGTGGTGGCACGTGGTGCCTATTTGTTTCTATTCTACCATCATATGAACCAGCAGATGTTGTAGCCAGAGGCTGAGTATTACAAAGAGAGGCCGATCCATAACCTGCATCACCACCTGTACGTGCACTAGGATTTCCTTGGGCACCAGAAGGCCGAGCATATCCTCCGAAACCATCCTGAGAACTTGGCATTCCATGACCTGATGAGCCATAAGAAGGATAGCCACCACCAGTTGTTTGTGGTTGCATATCATACCTATTTGTATCCATTCTACCGTCATACGAACCACAGTAGGCACCAGAACCACTGAGATACGGATCAAAATATCCCGTACCCCCAGAATGGACACCCAAGGAAGATCTAGGCATTCCATAAGAAGGATAGCCGCCACCAGCTGTTTGTGGTTGCATAGCATACCAATTTGCATCAATTCTGCCATCATATGGACCAGCATCGGCACCACAACCACCACGATAAGGATCATAATATCCCATACCCAAAGAATGGCGCCCATAGGGAGATCTAGGGTTTCCATAAGAAGGATAACCACCACCAGCTGTTTGTGGTTGCATAACATACGTACTTGCGTCCATTATTCCATCATATGAAACAGAGTTGGCATCAGGACCACAGCGATGATCATAATATCCTGTACCCTTAGAACGTCCACCACTATCACTGTTCAGATTTCCATGGTCAGGATTGAAACGCTCGACTTGCATCCGCTTCCCATCAATTTCATGAGTGGTCTCACGCAGCGCTCTTTCAACAGCATCCTCATTGCTATAGGAGACAAATCCAAACCCACGTCTGATGTCTGTATGAGTCACAACTCCATACTGTCGGAAATGCTGGAGGAATTTATCTTCAGTCAAGGTGGAGGACAACCCTCCAACGAAAATTTTCTTGGTATCATTTCCACCCTCACCACCACCTCCATCCAGTCTACCCGAACAGGGATTTCTAGATAGAGCAGAGGCACGCCACTCCTCTGGGGAGAGAGCTCTTAGAACATGCACCTGAATAAGCCCAAACAAATATTACAATGTAGAATAAAACTATTTCGAGAGCGTATAGATGTGCAAGCCTGCAGCGGAAATGCATTTCATTAATCAAACAAGTACATTATACACTAGGCCATACTTAAAAAAACAATATACAAACCATGAGAAATCATAGCACAAAAAAAAGCTCTGCATAGATCATTCACAAGACATTTATTTGAATTATTGACAAAGTCAACTATGCGCCCTGGTTAATTCATTTCTACACAACCACTCTTTATGATTACAAGAGGAAAGTACATGGAAAAAGTCACCAATAACATTTTTTATCCACAACATATTTTACTAAGGATGCAATGAACAAGCCAAAACAGTTTGTGCATAACTGAAAAAACAAAGAGGTAGATAACTAAAAGCATCAATTAAGTTAGGATGCATTTGACAATGATCTATAACAATCTGAGCAACGATGCAGCAACTAACGGATGCAAAAATGACATAATAACCAAGTATACTGGACTGACAATGACAGATTTACAACAGTATAAATGTGCAGCACATAACTGATAGAATAAAGAAATCTAGCAAATAATCCTTAAGCCATGTACTAAAGAGAGCCTCTCAAGAGAAGTATTTCCCCACTGCATCGCTGAAACAATAAAATTTCACAAATATAGTCTTCTGATCTATAACAAGGACAAGCCCATCCAGATAACATTTGCATCAAAATGAACAGAGCCACTTTCGAATACTTAACTAGTTGCAACTCCAAATAATTAGAAAAAACAAAAATACTTGGCATATTAAGTAAAAAAAAGATTGATGATAAGTCTTAAGAAGTCAATAATCACTAGCCAACTCATAGCACAAAGTCACTTGAAACAACATAGAGCATATACAAGTTATCAGTAGTTAGATCTCTGTCAATTATAAAATTATTAATAAGTGAAATTAATCATAAAGTAAAAGGTCAATTATATGATAAATACAAAAAACCATGAGAATTTTTTTCCTTAAACACATAGTATAGGTTTACAGACCTACAGCAAACAAATCTAGCAAAAGAAACAAAAAAAGACAACAAATCACAAATTATCAATAAATTATTACAGAACCCAGAATCGATGTTCGCAAAAGATCAAATAGGTATCAAAAGAGTAGATGGCAAGAATAACAAGTACAAGAACAGATACACTGTTATAAGCATAGAGATGAATATCAGTTGTTCCGCACAAGACTTTCCTATTTCACTCTTTTCTTCTCATTCATGTTTATTTTTGCCTCTTATTTGCTCTGCTGCCTTTTTCACAATTTTCCTGGTTCTCTGGTTCAACTGAGACATCCATTCTTTGTTCTTTTTTCTGTCTAGAGCATAGACCCTCAGTCATCAGCGCGCCTCTTGAGTTTTATGGTTCTCTGTTATAAGTATTTGCTTATTTTTCTGGGTATTGTTTTCCCTTTTTTGTTGCCTTCGTAATGATATTAGATACAAGAACGATTCACTGTCCTAGAAACCTAAGGTTTGTGAGGCTAATATCAACATCGAAGGGCATCACTGGTATCAATGCAGGAAGGTCTCTCCACTGTTACCTCATGTAGGATGCAACGCCAATAATATGATTAATGCGAAGCCCTAGGATCCTACTGAGACTTTTCAAGGAATAAGACCCTGAGACAAGTCACTCAAAAAGGTGCAATAAGTTTAATCTTGGAATGCGTTGAATAAACAATATCAACAGCAAGATCATTATGTTTTAATCCCGGGTATAGCCATGTTTTAAAATACATTTGTTTTATGTGTTCATACTAATAATGTACAAACAGATTACACAAAATTAAATAGCGATATTTTTTTAAATTCATATATCTGTCTGTGTCTGTCTGTGTTGATAGAGAATTGCATATCTTTTATTTTTTTTACATACATGCACACGTACATATGTATGTATGTATGTATGTAGTATGTATGTAGATATGTATGTATGTATAATTGTTTTCGTGTGCATCCATGTGTGTTTGAGTAAACCCCTATCGTTTGTCATCACCAACAAGAATCTGCAAACTGCATAATCACATAAACTACTCTGACCTTAGTTTTTTCTAGGGTTAATTGTGTCTAGGCCCTTTGTTCTATTGCTGAAGGTAGACCCTTTGAGTTAAATTTGTTTAATCTCTTACCCTCAAGAAGATTTTTTTTTTTTTGACAAATAGACCTCTTGAGGTTAAAAGAGCAAAAAAAATTGCTTAGGGGCATGGTTATCAATAGTGGAATATAGTGTTGCATAGCGTTGAGGCACTACAAAGTTTATTTAGGGCTATAGCGAGAAAAAACGCAAAGTCGAATAGCAGTCCAATTTAAACGTACTAAAAATTCTAGAAATGCATATTTGATTATTCATAATTAGGAGATTTGACACAAATCAATTCAATAATTTTAAAATTCTAAGAATAATTTATAATTAAATCAATAACTAAATAAATAAGCAAGTATTCCAATTTCCAACTAAATAAATAAACATGTAAAATCAGTGTTCAATAACTGAATTAGTGACTAAGCAACTAAATAAATGAACAAAAACATAAATTTATTACCTTCAACTCGACGCAACATTGAGGGTCAAGGTTTTAAATATCGGTTATCGGGGATTTATCGGATGGCCAAAATCCTTATCGGATAGCGAAAATCGGGAATATATCGGGGATAAGTAGTATTTATCGGAGTGATATACTAGATGATGTGTATATATAATATAACAATTAAAAAATATAATCTAATCATGCTTAATGAAATATAAACATACCAAAATATAAATCATCATGTTTAGAATCACTAACAAATTGTAGAAAGCGAAACTTGCATCATAGCCTTGAAAAATATAATGTTAGTCAAAATGGGCCGATAATCCCGATAATCCCGATAAAAAAGTCTTACTTATCAGCCGATAAGTGGCGATAACGCCGATAAATCGTCGATAAACCTACAAAAACGATAACCGATTAAAAATCCAATTTATCCTAGCGGATTGCTCCCAAATCCGATAACTCGGCCGATAATATCGATTATCGGCCGATATTTAAAACAGTGTTGAGGGTTGAAGCAGCAGAGAGCTTATGGCGAGAGGACTGGAGGAGTTGAAGAGTCGTCGTTGTTGAGAAAGCTGATGGAGGATAGGAGTAGTTCATGATGAGAGGTGCTGTGGCGATGAGAGGCGGTGTTGAGGGAGGCCTTAGAGGCACAGCGGGAGGTGGTGAGAAGAGAGGTGGCGATGTTTGGGTGCTAGGGTTTTTTTGGCAATGGGATCAAGAGGAGAGAGAAAATGATTGGTTAGCTATAAATATCGAGTCTGGTGGGCGTGGGTCCGGTTTCATAAAAGTAAACAAATTTATTGCTTTTAAATAGCGGTCAAAAGTGAAATTTGGTCACAAGTGCCAGCTATGATGTGTTAACCGTCACTTTTGCGAGCGGATAGCACAGATCTCCCAATTCATCACTGCCAATTCATCACCGCAATTAGCCTGACTCGTTGCGGAAGAGCTTGCTAATGCAGTTAGCCCCGCAATTGCGATGAAATTGCTCGCTATTTATAACCATTGTTTTAAATATCGGCCGAGTTATCATATTTGGGAGCTCTCCGCTAGGATAAATTGGTTTTGTAATCAATTATCATTTTGGAGAGTTTATCGGCGAGTTATTAGCGTTGTCGGCACTTATTGGCCGATAAGCAAGGCTTAAATTATCGGGATTATCGGCCGGACATTTTGAGTTGAATTGTTGAGTTTTTAAACCCGACCTGACCCGTTTTGTTAATAAAATGAAACTTAAAACCCGAAACTTCGAATTGTTGAGTTTTTAAACCCGACCTGACCCGTTTTGTTAATAAAATGAAACTTAAAACCCGAAACTTCGTGAATCCGACCTTCAAACCCTAAACCCCGTTTTGTTAATAAAATGAAACTTAAAACCCGAAACTTCGTGAATCCGACCTTCAAACCCTAAACTTCATCTCTGGCGGCTGCTCCTTTTCTCATAGAGCACTTCCCCTTCCTCCGTTATCTCCATCTCATGTCCTTTGCGCCTCTTTGTCACTCGCCTTCGTGAACTTCAAACCTTGAACTTCGTCGCTCACTTACCCTCCGTCAACCTCATCGCTTGCCTCGCCTTCCTCCTTCGTGAACCTCGTCACTCACATTGCCTTTGTGAATCTTGGTGAACTTTGCTCGCCTCGCCTTTGAACTCCAACAGGATTTACTTAAACATGTATCATTTCTTCTCGCCTTCGAACTGTTCTGTTTTTTAAGTTAATTTTTGTTGTTCTTTGAACAAATATTATCTCCTTGTGAGACTTGTTGTGAAGAATCTCCGTGAATTATCTCCAGCGGGATTTACTTGATTTTTGTTTTTTGTTGAGTTTTTAACTTCTGTTTTTAATCTTTTCTATAAGAATTTCTGTGAAGTTTTAGGATTTTTCCATAAGTTAAAAAGATTTTTGTCCGGAAACATGGCTATATATACACATGCTGTGAGTTTTCCTTCTCTTGTAATTCCTTCACAGTTCACGCACGCACTTAGATCTCAAGTCGGTGACCTGAAAGAAGAAATTGTTGAATAATTTTGTTATTTTCTTATTTTAGTTGTCCTAGTCTTTAGGCCTGCATATTGAATTTACAGGTTTCACCTAGTCTTTAGTAAACCACTTAATTAGTTCCTATTTTTATGCTGTTATCTATTGAATATAAGCCTATTTAAAGGCAAGCTAATTAGTGAATAAACTGTACTGGTTTAATTCCACTTTCTCTTTTGAGTAATATCAGTTCTATAATTATTCTTTTATCATACTTTGCTTTTCTGAGCAATATCAATTGTCTACTATCCTTATTTCTACTATCCAAGGAGATCGTAAAGGATGGAAGTTTTTTGAGTTGCCTTGTTGATTGTATGAACAAATTCTATCCAGATGATTGTGACATGCTTGGCAAGATTGGAGACCAACTCTCTGATTATCAGCACCAAAGAG